TCCTGTGGGGGGGACACACACACCGGGGACACACACACACACACACACCGGGGGGACACTGCGCCTGGTGGAGGGGGAAAGCGTGTTGTACCTGTGTGGGCGTGAGTGAGCGCGCGTGTGCGAGCGTGTGCGAGGACACGGGAGCTTGCGTGCGTGTGTGTGAGCGTCTGTGTGCATCCACGTGCATGTGCGAGCAGGCGTGTGCATGCGTGTGCGTGTGTGAGCGTGTGTGCGTCTGTGTGCATGTGTGAGCGTGCGTGTGCACCCATGTGCGTGTGTGTGCATCCATATGTGTGCACCTGTGTGCATGCGTGTGCACGTGCATGTGCGTGTGTGAGCGTCTGTGTGCGTCTGTGTGTGTGTGCATCCCTATGTGTGCACCTGTGTGCACTTGTGTGCACGTGCATGTGCGTGTGTGTGCATCCCTATGTGTGCACCTGTGTGCATGCGTGTGCACGTGCATGTGCGTGTGTGAGCGTCTGTGTGCGTCTATGTGCATGTGTGAGCGTGCGTGTGCATGTGTGCACCTATGTACGTGTGTGTGCATCCCTATGTGTGCACCTGTGTGCACGCATGTGCACGTGCATGAGTGAGCATTTGTGTGTGCGCCTGTGAGCATGCGTGTGCGTGCACCTATGTGCGTGTGTGTGCATCCATATGTGTGCACGTGTGTGCACGTGTGAGCACGTGCATGAGTGAGCATCTGTGTGTGCGCCTGTGAGCATGCGTGTGCGTGCACCTATGTGCATGCGTGAGCATGTGTGTGCGCGTGCACCTGTGTGCATGTGTGCACGTGTGCATGTGTGAGCATGCGTGTACATGTGTGTGCGTGTGTGTGCACACCTATGTGCATGCGTGAGCATGTGTGTGCGCGTGCACCTGTGTGCATGTGTGCACGTGTGCATGTGTGAGCATGCATATGCACCTATGTGCGTGTGTGTGCATCCATATGTGTGCACGTGTGTGCACGTGTGAGCACGTGCATGAGTGAGCATCTGTGTGTGCGCCTGTGAGCATGCGTGTGCGTGCACCTATGTGCATGCGTGAGGATGCACGTGAGGGCGTGTGCACCTGTGTGCATGCGTGTGCGTGCACATGTGAGCATGTGTGTGCATGTGTGTGTGTGTGCTTGTGTGAGCATGTGTGTGCATGCGTGTACATGTGTGTGCGTGTGTGTGCACACCTATGTGCATGCGTGAGCATGCACGTGAGGGTGTGTGCACCTGTGTGCATGCGTGTGTATGTGTGCATGAGTGAGCATGTGTGTGCATGCGTGTGTGTGCATGTGAGCATGTGCGAGCATGCGTGTGCGTATGTGTGTGTGTGCACCTATGTGCATATGTGAGCATGTGTGTGCACCTATGTGCATGTGTGAGCATGCGTGTGCATGTGTGTGCACCTGTGTGCATCTGCGTGCGTGTGTGAGCATGTGTGTGCACATGTGCAAGCGTGTGTGCGCACCCGCCTGCATGTGCGCATGCGTGTGCATGTGTGAGCACGTGTGTACATCTGTGTGTGTGTGCACGTGTGCACGTGTGAGGATGCCTTTACACGTGTGCACGAGGGAGGATGGGTTTGCACGTGCGCGTGCACAGAGGCGCACACACGGGGGGGACCCATGGGTGCCATAGGTGCCCATGTGAGACGCCACCGGGGGCGAAGGGAACGGTGTCACCCCCTCTGCCACCGCAGGCTCAGCCCTGGGGGG